GGTCTAGAGACGGGGGATCGCCGTGAGGGAGAAACTAGCGGAGGGAACTAGCCTAGGGAATCAGAAGTGTTTTTTCTTGTCAAACCAACAGACTTGATGGGAATAGCTGATGGAATAGTCTACAAAGTAACTGTGGCGATAATTGGTGACAGCCTATCCTGCACTCAGGATGGAATTTATTTTTTCCTGTCCCTACCTCACGAGGATGTTGGCGACTGCCAGCCTCTTCTGTTTTGTGGGGAGGAGGGCTCTTAAACTAGGAGGACAATTTTTGTAGTCTCCTGCCATTGCGGCAATGTCAATGCGATGTTTGCGGGAGGCGGATATGGATTAGACGGGGGCATTTTTTAATTCTGTGCAGCTTTGTTTTTAATAATATTTATGTCCATAACTTTTTTTTTTGCTACTCTCATTTTCTAGAAGATTTGATGTTAGTTATTGTTTCAATATTTGATTTATTTCAGGTGATACCTTCTGTGAGGAAAAAAAATTTTAAATTTCATACTTATTTTCATAATCTTTTTTGGACTGCCCTCATATCTTCTAAGATATTTGGTGTTAGTTATTCTTTAGATATTTGATTTATATCTAGAAATACCATCTGTGAGGAAAAATTTTAAAATTTGCACTCGGAATGTCTAAAATTATAGGGCTTTATTTTTCTATTTTTCTTTTTGGGAGGCAAAGCACAGTACTGATTTTTAAAAATATTTTCTAAAAAAAGGGTAATTGTTTGAAAGCGAGCAGGAAAGGGAGTGGGAGTGATGAAGAAAAGCGAATGAATTAAGGGAGGGAAGGAAGGAGGAAAGAAGAGGGAAGAAGGAAGGAATGGGGGAAGGAAGGAGTAATGAAGGGAGGGATGAGGGATGAAGGGAAGTCAGAAGAAAGGGAGGGAGGATGGATGAAAGGAAGATGGAAGAGAGGGAGGAGCGATGAAGGGATGACAGAAGGAAGTGAGGGAGGAGGGGTGAATGGAGCACAGAAGGAAGAGAGGGAAGAGGAGGGATGCAGGGAGGGAGGACAATAGGAAGGGGAGAAGAGAGGACAAAAGGAAGGGAAGGAGGAGGGATGAAGGGAGGACAGAAGGACGTGAGGAATGAGGGATGAAGGGAGGACAGAAGGAAGGGGGAAGGTAGTTCAGAAGGAAGTGAGGGAGGAGGGATGAAGGTAAGACAGAAGGAATGGAAGGATAAAGGGAGCACAGAAGAGAGGGAGGAGGGTTGATGACAGGAGAGATGGAAGAGAGGGAGGAGGGATGAAGAGAGGAAAGAAGGACGGGAGGATAAGAGATGAATGGAACATAGAAGGAAGGGAGAGAGGAGGGATGAAAGGAGGACAGAAGGAAGTGAGGGAGGAAAGAAGAAAGACAGGAAAGGTAGTTCGGAAGGAAGGGAGGGATGAGGGAGGAAGGGAGGACAGAACTAAGAGAGGGAGGAGGGATGAAGAGAGGACAGAAGGAAGGGAAGAGGGATGAAGACAGGACAGAAAGAAGTGAAGAAGGAGGGATGAAGACAAGATGGAAGAAAGGGACGAGGGATGAAGGTAGGACAGAAGGAAGAGAGCAAGTATCGATGAAGATAGGACGGGGGATGGGAGGGATGAAAGCGAAAGGGAAGATAAAAGGGAGGGAGGAAGGAAGTTCAGAAGGAAGAGAGGGAGGAGGGATGAACGTAGAAAAGAAGGAAGTGAGGGGGGAGTGATGAAGAGAGGAAGGAGTGATGAAGGGAGCCAGAAGGAAGTGAGGAAGGAGGGATGAAGAGGACAGAAGGAAGAGAGAGAGGAGTCATGAAGAGAGGACAGAAGAAAGTGAGGTAGGAGTGATGAAGAGAGGACAGAAAGAAGGGAGGGAGGTGGAATGAAGACAAGTTAGAAAAAAGAGACGGAGGAGTGATGGAGACAAGACAGAAGGAAGAGAGGAAGGAGTGATGAAGAGAGGACTGAAGGAAGGGAGAGGGAAGGATAAAAGGAGGACAGAAGGAAGTGAGGGAGGAGTAATGAAGAGCGGACAGAAGGAAGGGAGGGAGGTACGATGAAGGGAGCACAGAAGGAAGTGAGGGAGGAGTGCTGAAGACAGAAGAGAGGGAGGAGAGATGAAGAGAGGACTGAAGGAAGGGAGAGGGAAGGATAAAAGGAGGACAGAAGGAAGGGAGTGATGTAGGGAGGGAAGGAAAGGAGGGAGGAAGGATGAATTTAGGACAGGACGGATGAAGGGAGGACAGAAAGGAATGGATAGAGGATGTATGCAGGGAGGGCAGAGGAAGGGAAGGAGGTGGAATGAGGGGATGACAGAAGGAAGAGAGGAAGGGGAAGGATGAAGGGAGAACAGAAGGCAGAGAGGGAGGAGGGATCAAGGAATGTAGGAAGGGAGGGAAGGAAAGAGGGAGAAATTATTTTGGGTGAGAGGGAAGAAAAGTGATATAGGGATGCTGTGAGAAATGGAAGAAGAAAGGGAGGGACTGAAGGAAGAGAGAGATGATGGGTGAAGGGAAGGAGGGAGGAATGAGCATTGATGATGGAAGGAAGGAGAAAAGAGAAATGAAGTTTGGATGGAATGAAGGTGGAGGAAGGATGAAGAGAGGATGTTAGGAAAGAGGGAGGAGAAATGGAGAGAGCGAAGGAAGGTGGGAGACGTGAGGAAGGGGGAGACGTGAGGAAGGGGGAGACGTGAGGAAGGGAAAGAGAATGAAGGAAGGGAAGGAGCAAGTGATGAAAGGAGGAAGGAAGGGAGGTTGAAATGAGTGTGGAAGGGTAAATAGAGGAGGGAAGTAGTGAGGTAGAAAGGGAAGGAAGGAGTGAGGAGAGATGAAGGGAGGTCAGAAGGAAAGAGGGAGGAGGCATGAGTGAGGGGAGGACAGAATGAAGAAATGGAGGAAGGGAAGGAATGAGGAAGGATGAAGGAATCAGGAGAGGATTGAAAGAAGAAAAGAATGGAGGGAGGGAGGTAGAAGGATGAAGGGAGGAGAGCAGGATAAGGGAAACCTCATGAAGGAAGAAGGGAAGGATAGAAGGGAAAGAGTGAGGATGAAGCGAGGAGAGAAGGAATTAGGGATTAAGTGAGGAAGGAGGAAGGGAGGAATGAAGGAAAGAGGGAAGTAAAGAGGAAGGAGGGATGGAGGACAGAAGGAAGGAGTAGGGATGGGGGAAGGAGGGAGAAATGAGGAATGGAGGGAGGGAATGAAAGGTGAAAGGAGGGATTAAGGGAGGAAGAAAAGGGTATAGAGAGTTAAGAGAGGGAGGGAAGAAGTGAGGAGGGATGAAGGGAGGGAGTAAGAAGTAAGGAAGGAATGGAAATGAGGGTAGGAAAGAGGGAAGAGGGATTATGGAATGAGGGGGATGAAAAAACGGAAAGAGAAAGAAGGGAGGAAAGGGGAAGGATGGAGGGAAGCTGGAATGAAGAAGGGATGAAGGAAGAAGAGAGGGTAGAGTGAGAAATGAAGGGAGGAAAGGAAGGAGGGAAGAGGGATAAGGGAGTGTGCAGAGGAGGGAGAAGGGATGAAGGGAAGATGAAAGGAGGCAGGAGTGAAGGAAGTGAGAGAGTGAATTGGGAGGTGTCAGATGTGACGGGAAAGACAGAAGAAACGAGTGGATGGAGAGATGGAAGATGGGGATAGGGAGCAAGGAAAGAAAGGGAAGGAACAGAGGGATGGAGGGAGAAGGAAGAATAAAGGAAGGGGGGTTTGAGGGAAGAAAAATAAGGAAGGAAGAGAATAAGGGAGGGAAGTGAAGAATGGAGGAAAGGAGCTCAGAGTTCAGAGGGAGGAAAGGATGGAGCAAGAGAGAGAGAGAGAGAGAGAGAGACAGACAGACAGACAGACACTGACGGACTTTCACCCACTGTTTCACTCTCCAGTTGGGGAAAACTACTGGGGCTAGATCAAGCCAATGTGTGGAGCAGGAATTCCTTCCTAGTGTCCCATACAGTCACAGGGACCCAAATGCTTGGGGATAGCAGCATTTAGGAGCAGAATTAGAAATAGAGCATATGGTGATTGATCCAGCATTGTGCTGTGAGATGCTAGCATTGCAAGTGGTGGCATAATTCACTATGCTATAACACTGGTTCCTTTTTATCTTTTATGTATTTATATAGTTTTAAAAATATAAACTGTTATTACTCCAAACTTCCCTTTCAGCACTTCTACAGCTGTGTACCACAAACTTTAGTATATTACAATGTATCATTTTCATTTGGTGTCATATATTCTTAACTGAGACATTTTTAATCCATGAGATTTATTGTTTAGTTTCCAGGTGTCTTCAAATTTTCCTTTTAGTGTTATTATTGATTTCTATCTTGATTGTGCTGTGACAAAAGAACATACTCTGGTTTGATTTCAATTATTTTTATAGTTGCTGAGATTTGCTAAAGGTGGAGGAATGGTCTATTATAAAGATAACTATTCCATGGACATTTGGAAGAAATATGTATTTTACTGTTATGGGGGGAGTTCTATACTTGTAAACATTGATTAGATTGTTTTTGTTGCTGATGTTGCTGAGTTTTTCCATAACCTTGCTGATTTTCAAATCTGACTATTAAGCAGCAGTGATTGAGATAAGGATGTTGAAATCTCCAATTGCAGATTTGGATTTGCCCATTTTAGTTTCTGTCACTTTTTGCTTCATAATATCACATCTCTGTTGGTTAGTAATACATATTTAAGATTGTTACATCTTTTGGTGGATTAACCCGTCTACATTATGCAACATTCCTTTCTGCCCTTGGTAATTACTTTGCTTTCATATTGCCTTATGTGATATTCATATAGCATATCCTGGTTTGTACAAACCAATTTATATGACTTATCCTTTTTTATTTTTAAAATTTTCATCCTACTTACATCATTTTATTTGAAGTGGGTTCCTTGTTGACAGAATATTGTTGGGGCATTTAAAATTTTTTGGAACAGTTTATTATTATTATTATTTCCTTTGATATAGTTTCGGAGGTATAGGGATTCCTCCTTCTCCTTCCTCGCTCCCTGTTTTCTAGTTTACCATTTTGCATCCAAGGCCCCTTAGAGTAACCCATAGGAGCAACAACTTATGTACATCACTCAGGCTGCTGCTATTTGTGGCTATTGCACACCGAGCACCTAAAGGAAAGGAGCCTAGTAAGCCTCATTGGCTGTGGACTTATTTCCTTTGGAAGAAAAAAAAAAACACTGCTTATGTTGTTGTAATGCATTTGTATTAGAAAAAGGTCAGATTGAAAAGGGGAAATCAGTTTAGAGGCTTTTGACAGTGAGGCAAACAAGAGACTAAATGACAGTTGAGCTGGAAATGACTGGCTGGACATAAGATATATTTTGAGGTAGATTCAGCAGTATTTGCTGGATTGGATATAGGCAGGTAAGGTGACGGAAAAGAGTTTGGGTCAAAGATGTTACCCAGATTTCTGACTTGATGAACAGATTCAGTGTGCTATCAGTGTGTGCAATGGAGGCTATTGGAGAAGGATTAGGTTGCGGAAGGCGACAAGAGTTCTACTGTTCTGTGTTAAGTCTGACGTGTCTATGAGATGTCCAAGTGGCAATGTGGAATACTAATTTGGATTTCTGAATCTGGAGATGAGCCAGTTTTACATTATAAATCTGGATATAATAACCTGGGGGAATTAAAATTAGAATGGGACCTGAAATTGTATGGATATCATACCTTTAATATAGAGGCTGTGAGAGCCTAGGAGACTAGGCTAATAATAAAGATAGGAGTGGTACAGTACCTGCTACATATGTAGGAAGTCTTAGATTTTATCCCTGTTGTTTCCATTTTCTCTCATTCTTCAGAGGATGGGGCAGGGTGATAAATGCTCCAACCCTTTTGTAAATTCCACATACATATGGATGTATCATATGTAATACATTTATATTTAGTTTAAATTTTATACATTTAATATAAAGACACATACATATATATTAGAAAAGTATTAAAAACTTAGTTCCGGGGGGAGGGGTTGGGGGAATCCCAGTACCTATGGAACTGTATCTCATAATACAATGTAACCACTAATTTAAAAAATAAATAAAAAAAATTTAGTTCCTAGCATGAAGCAGGTCCTCATTAAATATTAAACAACTGAAGAAATGTATGAATGAAATAAATGGGAACATCTAGGTTGCAGTAGCATCCTTGCTTCAATGTAATTTTGTGATGCTGGGAAGTTACCAAGCTACAACTGCCAGCAAAATGGCATTAAAAAAAAGAACCTATCTTTTTGAATTGCATTTTTAGAAATTAAGAAAAAAAAAATCACAGCAAGTAACCTAGAGCTAGTGCTGAATTAATGCTAACTTGTGTTGCCTCTGGGCATTCTAAATGCTCATTCATAAAATAGGAACTACTTCTGCCCTGCTCCCGTCAACTAGGCTGTTTGGGAAGACTACAGGTGTTAATGTTTGATTCTCTGAGGGTTGTTAATCCTAATGTTTAAATTAGTCTGAATGCACACTATTACAGCTGCTTCTTCCCTCATCTTCCCCACCCCCTGGCCACCCTTTAGCAGGCGTATTTAAATGACAACGTGTTTTTAGAAAGACCCAGTATTCTCCTGTCAGCCCAGCTTGGTCCAGAAATTGCACTCAAAATTACCCCCATTAGTCGCACAGTTCCCTAGCTCCAGCTCCTCCTTGTTAGGTTGGCGTCCCTCGCAGCTCTGCACGCTGATTGGTCCTTTCCTGGCCAATCAGCACTGTGCTCTCTTCTGGGGTTGTAGGGCTAATTGGATAGAGCACCAGCCAGGTTGAGACCCTACTTGGGTCGCTAAGCAGAGCTCCGTTCAGTAGCCTGGTCTCTCCTGGCATAGGGCTGCGTCACTGGTTTTTCCTGTTCTGTTCTCTGTCTCCGTGTGAGGTAGGCACCTTTGGGCTTGTGCTGCCTGGTGGAATGTCCAGCTCCGTTGCCTGCCGGCGGGTTCTTAAACATCACTGGAGTTCCTTGTTACCTGCTGTGTTCTCTTCTGCGGATGCATGGCATCCCTGCGGGGCAAACCTTTGTGGTATTCTGTGCATCAGCAGAATGAGCCCTGCATGAAGAAGGAGGAAAGAGAGTGTGTGTTGGAGAGAAATCAGAGGAAACTAGACTAGGTCGCAGCTTTGAAACAAAGCAACTAGTACATGTGTCTGAACCAGAGGACTTTTACAAAGTCTTTTGCAAGTGAAAGGATGCAGCATAGATTTCATTTCCAGTTGCTGTAGGAGCAGATGAGTTAGAGAATGCTAATTCAAGGGCGTCCGATGAACCACAGGTGGAAGGCTGTGGAGGATAGAAAGGTGCTCTTGCTCTCCTTTTTATCCCTCTTAGCTCCTTGAAAGTCAGAGGTGGAACAAACCCGAGCACAGTGTCTCTTCAACCATTCCAGAATGTTGTTAATTCACAGGTTGCAATTTGGGAGGCCTAGCTTGTGGCCTAAAGACTAATTGCTCTCCAGCTCCCGGGTGATGCTTGACTTTGACTATACTTTAAATAGGAAGGAGACTCTACTCCCATTGCTGCATTTCATTAGATGAGGAAACGGGCTGAGGTTGTCCTGTGTCATCCAGCCAGCTTGTGGCAGGGCCATAACTGGACCCCCGCATCCTAGCCAGCCCAGGGATGTTTTCATTGATACCATTTGGTCTTTTCTTCCCTGTGCTTTGCTGTCTGTAACCTGATTTTCTCCTGAAGATGTATTTATTTTTCTTGGAAAGGCAGATTTTTATTGAGAGAAAGACCTTCCATTCATTGGCTCACTCCCCAAATGACCACAGCAGCTGGAGCTGAACTAATCTGAAGCCAGGAGCTTCTGCTGGGTCTCCCACACAGGTGCAGGGTCCTAACGCATTGGGCCGTCCTCTACTGCTTTCTAAGGCCACAGACAGGGAGCTGGATGGGAAGTGGAGCTGCTGGGATTAGAACCGGCGCCCATATGGGATCCTGGTAAGGCAAGGATTGAGCCACTAAGCCATCATGCCAAGGGCCCAGCCCCCAACCCACCCCGTCCCCCCAGAGGCAAGGGCATTAGTTTTCTTAAGTATGTTTCCTGCAAAGCAAGTGATTAGTGAATAGGATAATAGATGTAGTATATGGCTATCATCTGAGAAACCTTTCTCTGAAATTCAGTTAGCCTACTGTGCTATCAGCTGAAGTTTTTCGCCTATTCAGTGCTCTTTCCTTTGGAAGGGTAAAGGTTTCAGGGTGTGAGTCTTGGTCCATCTCTAAAAAAAGTTGTATGAGGCATGAATAATACAAATGGAGTGAGTGGTTTTCACAGTGAAGTTAAGGGTGGGTGCACTCAATTTCATTTCATTGCTGCTTGGCTGAATTTTGAAGGATGAGACAGAAAATAGATTTGGATTTGAGGAAGAGAAGGCAAATAAGACCATTTATTGAGTACATACCCTGCTTCAGGCTTTGTATATACAGGCTGACATTTGAGTCACCTGACTCCTCTGCAAGTAATTGCATTCATAGTTATTCTGCAAGGAAGGAGACTGAGGCTTGGAGATGTTAAGCAGGCTGGTATAGAAGCCCAGCTTCTTCTGCTCCAAAGCCTGTGTTTGTTCTATTTCCCTTCACTTTTTAAAAAATGCTTTTCAGTGTGATCTGAGAAACTTGATGACATTTTAGGCAACATACAAAGGGCAGTCCAGCTGCTTACTAGTCCATTTGTCACTACTCAAGTCACTAGTAAGTCACTAAAGTAATCTGTGGGGCTGTAAAATGAAGAGAACTGAACCAACATTGCTTACCCTCCCCACTTTTCTGCTTGCTTAAACTCACCCTTGAAGTCGGCATCTTTTCTGTTTCTCTGTCTTACCAGCCTCGCTGCAACCTAGCATTTCAGCCCCATTATAATCCTCCTCAATATGCCCTTTATGCTCCAAGCTCCAGGTGCCCGGATGTGCCTGAACTCTTCAGGTTCACACCTTTACTGAGACTTAGCCTGTATAACCTAGACAGTTCGAGCTCCCCGTCTAGTTGGGGACCTCATTGTTTAAAGCTGGGCCAGATATTATCTCCTTTAAAAAAATTGATTTTTATTGGAAAGGCGGATATACAGAGAGGAGAGACAGAGACGAAGATCTTCCGTCTCATGGTTCACTCCCCCAGTGAGCGCAATGGCCAGAGCTGAGCCAATCTGAAGCCAGGAGCCAGGAGCTTCTTTTGGGTCTCCCATGCGGGTGCAGGTTCCCAAGGCTTTGGGCCGTCCTTTTCCAGGCCACAGGCAGGGAGCTGGATGGAAAGTAGGGTCACAGGGATTAGACTCGGCGCCCATATGGGGTTCCAGTGCTTTCAAGGCAAGGACTTTAATCACTATGCTATCGCGCTGGGTCCTCCTTTTTAAAGCCTTCCTGTCCCTGAGATGATTACTGACTTTGCATTATTTCTCTGTAATACAATTTCTTAGCTCAGGCTGGTATAACAAACTATCAGAGTTGGTGGCTTAAATGATAAACATTTGTTTCTTATAGTTCTAGCCAAATCTCCAAATATCTTCAACATTATGAATTTTATAGGGACATAGACATTTAGTCTCTAACAAGTATTTTGTATTTACCTTTATTAAATCACGTGTTACATTTTATATTAACATTAGAGTTGTACCCCTCACTGTCCTAAGAAATCAATATTTGTTTATGTCTCTGTTATAGGACGTATCTGATACATAGTGATACTTTTGTTGAACTGCTTTAGAATATCTCTTCTGATACATACTGATACTTTTTAAAAATTGCTTTAGATTATCTCTTAGCGAAGTCTGTTTTGGTCAGATGCACTTGAATTTGGAAGTTGAATGTGGCCAAAGTCAAGAGCTTCTTCCAGATATCCCACTTGGCTAACAGAAGCAAAAATATTTGGGCCATCTTCCGTTGCTTTATACAATACATGAGCAGGGAGCTGGACTTGGAATAGAGAAGAGAAGCTGGTACACGAATTGACGCCCTTGTGGGATCTGGCATGGCAGGCAGTACCTTTATCCACTATTGCTAGAATACCGGCCCCAGTTCATCTCTTTTAAAAATATTTATTTGTTTATTTATTATGCAGAATGAGATAGGGAAGGAGAGAGGAAGGGAAAGAAGAAGGAAGAGGCAGAAGGAGAGAGAGATGTATTAATCTTCCATTCACTGAATTACTTCCCAAATGGCTGCACATTCTGCGACTTGGCCAGGCCCGAGTCAGCAGCAGCCTGAAACTTCATACAGGTCTCCCATAGGGGTGGCAGGGGTCCAAGGATCTGAGCCATCTCCAGACTCCTTCCCAGGTGAATTATAGCAGGGAGCTAGTCTGAAGTGGAGCAGCCGGGCCTCAGACCTGTGCTCTGATACATGATGCTAGAATTTCAGGTGGCAGCGCAGCCTGTGCCACAATGCTGGGCCCATGTTAGTTTTTAAATTTACTTTCCTATCCAGTATCTATAGGTGAGTTATAGCTTTAATCTGATTGAATTACATCTTTGCTTTAAAGGCATTTTATTTATTTTTACTGGAAAGGCAGATATACAGAGAAGAAAAACAGAGAGGAAGATCTTCCGTCTGATGATTCACTCCCCAAATAGCTGCAACAGCCGGAACTGCGTCGATCCGAAGCCAGGAGCCAGGAGCCTCTTCTGGGTCTCCCAAATGGGTGCAAGGTCCCAAGGCTTTGGGCCGTCCTCAACTGCTTTCCTAGGCCACAAGCAGGGAGCTGGATGGGAAGCAGGGCTGCCGGGATTAGACCCGGTGCCTATAAGGGATCCTGGCACATGCGATATGAGGAACTTAGCTGATGGGCTACTGTGCCAGGTCCAATATTTGAACTCTTAACTGCCCAGATTTGATGTCTGGTTTTCTTCTGGAGTTAGTGTAGAGATAATGGGTTTTCTCAAGAGTCTGTGTTTCTCAAGTCTGTGTTGTTCTTGGTAAATGATGTTTTAACAATGTCCCCTTCTAATTGCAGCCCTGTCCCTGGATAACTTAATAACTGAATCTTCAAGATGCCGTTGCCAGTACCACCTCCAATTCCCAAACGTGTGCCTAAGAAACCTCAGTCCAGTAAAAGTCTGCTCAACGATCGTGACTCACCTGAAAAGGTTAGAGCAATCTGTTTGTCCTAAGTGTCTCAAATGATATTTTCAGCCCTGAATCATTCAGAATATGTCTGATTTAATCTGAGAAAATGGGGGGAGGGTGGCAGCCCTCACAGTTGGAAAAAATAAGAAAATGAGAAGTTTAAAAGTGTGAAGTCTTCTTTTTTGTGTAAATGTGCAGGTCAGTGGAAAGCTACTCTCTATAACCTTCAGCATCAAACAGCCCTGAACTCTTGGGATTGGTCACATCTGTATGCTTACTTTCCTCGAGAAGCTAAACAGGCTTGCCAGAATGAGCAGGACACCCTTTTTTTCATTCCCCACTCGCATCCCTTAATTCACTGGCTAAATGGCTACCTTGGATGGGGTTGGGCTAGGTCAAAGCCAGGAGACAGTAGCTTCTTCTGGGTCTCCCATATGGATGGCAGGAACCCAATACTTGAGCCATCATTCATTGTTTTCCCAGGCCTTAGCAGGCAGCCAGATGTAAAGTGGAGCATCTGGGACATAAACAAGTACAATTATGGGATGCTGATGTTGCAAGCAGTGGGTTAATCCATGATGTTGCAACAGTTTGTTCTCAGAATTTTGTAAAGAACATCTGAGGCTTAAGAAAATTTCACCCAATAAAAGCTGTTAGAGGATAGACAAGCCCTACTGTGGGGTTTTATCTTTTAACTCCTAGTACCCCTACCCAATCAGGCCTTGAGTAAGGAATGCACATACCTGCAATAGCTAGAAAGGAGCCCTCATCTGCACCACTCCCCTCTTCTCCCAGCCCTGCTTTGTAAATATACTAACAACTACTGGAGATAATGCTGGATTACCAAACAGCTTTCTTCCAATATAATATTTCCCTTGTGAGGCGTATAATATCAGACTTTATACTTTATGGGTTATTTACTTTTCAAAAGGTACATTCTGTCAGTTAATCCTCAAGGGTGCTGTAAAGTAAGTTTTTGTTCCAAATGAAGCTCAGAGGGGATTAAGTGACTTGTCCAAGGCCAACACCGAATAAAGAGCTGATCCAGGAACATGACCTCGATCTGCATGTTGTTCCAATTCGGAATGTCTTAAATTTGCCACTTTAATGAGATTCTTAATATTGGTTGATTTACTGAGCTGATTCACTGAAAGCATTTATATTCAAGGAATGACTAGGGGTAGCAGGGACAGTAAATCTTAGAATAACCATGAACTTGAGAGGAGTAAGAAGAAAAATGACCAAATTATTTTCTCATTCTGAGAGTCAGACTGAAGGTGGTCTTGTCTCTGTCATTGGTGAATACTTCTCACAGAGCTTCTTTAAATGCCTGAGTGGAAAAATGTCCTTTTATAGCGGTTAGTTAAGGTTCATTCTATGTATCCTAAGTCATCCAGAGATGCCGGAATTTCCCTAGAACCCTGAATATGCTCCATAGTTAATGAAGAGAACATCCACAATTTGCATATGCTAGTTCACCTCTTACTTTTTCAGAGAGCAATGATACCTTCATCTTCACCTCGAGGAGTACTCTCAATGAGATTAGCTTTAGAAGATGTCACCAATGTGAGTATGTTATGCCAATCCTGCCATGTCATTTTTTAAATTGTTATTTTTGATGATGATTACATGTTTGGTTAGGGAAGAGTGGGTGATATCATTGTTTCGAAATTCTCTATTTCTTCTTGACTCTGGAGGAAGGAGGGAGAGAAAGGGGAAAGCCACATCCAGCCTCCCAAATGTTCCAGTACCCAGGGATTGGGGAATCGCTACCCGATATCAACCCAGGGTCCCACTCTAGTGCATGTTCTGAGGGTTCTGACCAAATGGTTTGGATAGTTCTGAAATGCTTTCAGTTTTGCCGATTCAGGGGTAATGCAACCCTCCCAACGTCCATTGGCTGACATAGTCAACCTCAAGTCTCCATTCAGCCAGATCTTGTTGTCATCGTTTGCAGGGGTAGTTGTCCATTTTGCTCTGTTCTCCTTCCTCTGTGATGGTACCAAATGGGCTGCTATATTTTCCATATGCATCAGGATCTGCATCCACAGCTATACTCTTTTTTTTTTTTTTTAACTCACAGGCAGGCCCAAGGACCTGCCTGGGTCAGGTGACCTGAGCCCCACCAGATCCCCGACCCCTGGGGCTCACAAACCCAGTACCCACCACTCAGGCAGATCCCAGTACCCCAGACCAGGTGACCCAAGCCCTGCTAGATCCAGGGCTCACAAACCCAGCACCCACCTCACAGGTGGGCCTTAGGACCTGGGTCAGGTGACCCAACCCCTACCAGATCCCTCACACCTGGGGCTCATGAGCCCAGCACCCCCTTTGCAGGTGGGCCCAGAATCTAGGCAGGGTGATTTGATTCCCACTGGATCCCCCACCCCTGGGGCTCACAAACCTGGCACCCACCATGCAGAGGGGCCAGCTCTGCCAGCTCCCCTGCCCCTGGGGATCATGAACTTGGTACCCATTAACCCCAGGCTGGCATGGATCGCCTCACTTGGGCATTCACTATGCGTTGCGCAGTCTGGCTCAGTTCAACAGGCTCCCAGTTCCAGCTCCTGCTGGTGGATACTGCAGCCTGGCCCAGTACAGCCAGAACACTGTCCTGGCCCTAGTGTGAACTGGCCGGTGTTGTGGCCCAACTTGGACCCTTTGTACCCTGTCCTGGTTCTCATATTTGCCAGTGGTTGTTATGAACTGGCCCAGCTTGTTCTGTCCCCAGACCTGACCCGTGTGTATGCCATCAGGTACTATAACCTGACATCGTCTGGGCTGCTCCTTGCCTTGGTTCTTGCACTCACCTGCAGGGACTGCATCCCAATGAAGGAGTTTCCCAAGCTCCTCTGTCAGGTCTCCTCCCAGTGGCAGATCTCACACACACCAGTGGGTCCTTGGCCCAGGCTGACTTTGTCTACCTCCTGTCCTGGCAGGAACAATGGCTTTGCTCAAGCAGCCCACGCTCACTCTGGTTCTTACTGTTGGGTGCTACAACCCACCCATGCCTGGTCCATGCCCCCTCCAAACTGCTTGGTCTCAGCACCCCTGCTTACCTGAAAGTGCAGTGCCCTTGTCCATGGATGTCCCTCAGTAGTCATTCCTCTCCTGGACATGAACCCTGCTTAGCCTTACTTTTTCCATAGCCCATACCCCATGTAAGCCCACATGCCCACGTCCCTAGAGCCTGTCACTTGAGGGCCCAATCTGGAGTCACCTCTGCCGTGTGCTGGATGAGTGGAGGCAGGCGGACTCTGCGCATGCCCCTGAAGTTGCCTCCTGCTGCTGCTGTTGAGCATGCTGGATCAAGGTGACTCCAGGCGAGTCCCATCTAGAGTCACCTTTGCTGCTGCTGGATCAACAGAGGCAGGAGGACCCTGTGCATGCACCCATTTAAAAAATATTTTATTTTATTGGAAAGGCAAATCATTTATAGAGAGAAAGAGCTTCTGTCTGCTGGTTCACTCCTCAAATGCCCACAACGGGTGGAGCTGAGCCAATCCAAAGCCAGGAGCCAAGAACTTCTTTCAGGTCTCTCACATGGGTACAAGGCTTTGGGCCATCCTTCTATTGCTTTCCCGGGCCATAAGGAGGGAGCTGGGTGGGAAGCAGAGTAGCCGGGATACGAATCGGCACCTATATGGGATGTTGGCATTCAGAGCTAGAGGATTCAGTTGAGCCACCACAGTAGTCCTTCTCACTCCCCTCCCATCTTGTCATTTTGCTTAATAAATATCTTCCTCCTGGAGGGATCTTTCCAGTTTAATCTATCCCAAAGCTTCTCGAAATTACTGAGACAGGTTTTATTTAGAATGAATGACTTAGCTTCAGAAACTACAGGGGTACTTTTACTGGCACACAGCATCTGGTTAATTGATAGAGTTTTCTTAAGTAGCAAACAGTGCTGAACAGATATAAAATTATAGCTAAGATATATGGCATTTCGATAAAGTCCAGAAATGGCTCAGCTGGCTGGCTGTGTCTTGAAGGCAAGTACTTTGTAGAATCATTGTCTTTATCAGTTCAAATACCATGGGCATTTTGGGCAGGATAATGTTTCTGTCTAGGATTAATTTCAACTGGCATTAACCCAGTCATGGTGACAATAAAAAATACTTACTGAATTTACAGACTGTTGACAACTTTAATTCTGTGATTTAGTCTTCAACTATGAAGACTAGTTGAAGAGCTAGATGCCCAATCTTGACAACATTTTTTTTTAAGGTTTACTCATTTTTATTGGAAAGACAGACTTACAGAGAGAAGGAGAGACAGAGAGAAAGATCTTCCATCTGCTGGTTCACTCCCCAGGTGGCCTCAATGGCTAGAGCTGAGCTAATCTGAAGCCAGGAGCTAGGAGCTTCTTCTGGGTCTCCCATAGCAGGTGCAGGGTCCCAAGGCTTTGGGCCGTCCTCGACTGCTTTCCCAGGCCAGAAACTGGTAGCTGGATGGGAATAGAGCAGCTAGGATAAGAATCAGCAACCATTTGGGATCCCGTATGGGATGCAATGTGAGAATTTAGCCACTAGGCTACTGCACTGGGCCTTTGCCTAGAATTCTTGAGTTGGCTTTTATGTGCTTCCCTTCTGATATTATTTAGGGAGCAGCAAAAATAAAAATTAGTAGAACTTGATAATTGAATATAAAATCAGTCCAAAGTTACCTTTTGGTCTTAGAAAAGTTTAGCAACTGATCAATACTGAGAATTTGCCCTGTGCTAGGCACTATTCTATGCACAATTTAATGTATCAATTCACATTATTGTCACATTGTTGTCATGTAACCCCATGAGGCAGATATTGTAATCAAATGTATTTTTACAGATGACGGCAATGTTCATTTTAAAGTCTTATTTCATCTAGGTAACAGATAAGACTGGTGAACAATTCTTGCCTGATACAATAGAGTGTATTTCTGTGACTACCAGAATACCTGTATCTATTAGATGATGTTTTACCAAACCCTTGGGAAGAATTGAATATGCGTTGGCATAAATCTCACCTTAAAATTCCTGCTGTGTAGATAATCTATAACCACCCTTCTGCTAATGCAGCCCTATTTCTATGCAGATTATAACATATGTGCTTAATTTACAGCTTTCTGTGGAATTTCATAGGAACTATTAATTGGTAAAAAGAGCTTCTTCCCACACATGCTTATAAGATTATGTCCTGAATTATTGAACCTTGGATTGGGAAACTTGGTTGAAATGGGATGACCATACTAATTGGGAGCAGAACAGCTAATCCTAGTGTAATTCTTGGCTCCGTGATGCAACCCACAGTGATACCATGTAAGGTGTTTTTTTGGGTTGCTATGACAGATTGGTTAAATTATGAATAACAGAAATATATTGCTTTCAGTTCTGGAGTCTTGGAAATGAAAGATGAAGATCTTGGCAGATTCAGTATCTGCAGAAGATCCATTCCTCATAAATGGTGTCTTTTAGCTGTGTCATTACATGATGAAAGAAGAAAACAGACTCTCTGAACTTTTTTTAAAAAAATTAAGTGTGCTAATTCCATTCCTGGAAAATCTGCCCTTATGACTTAATCACCTTGCAGCAGAACCCTTGTCTTAATGCAATCATATTGAGGACTAGATTTTGACATATGACTTTGATATGACACAGATATTCAGATCATAGTAATAAGGCCCCACAGCATATGAGAAATGGTTCTGGCTGTGCCCAGTCCTTCTTTCATGGTTTTTCTTGCATGGTTCTTTCAGAAAGAATGGTGAAATTTTAGTTTTATTTTTTAATATAGTTTATATAGTTGAGAGGGATGCGCACTCGTGTGGGCCTCTGGTCAGGGTAGGGATGCCTGAGGTAGTGAGAAAGGAGGTATAACAAATGAGTCAGTGCTTTCTTCTATGGCTGCATGGGGGTTGGAAAGAGGAGGGAGCACTGCTTGCTGTCAGACTACATCAGCACCCAGGGATGGTGAACAGTCATTTAATGACACCTTAGAAACCCTGATGTGGGGAAGAGTGTTCTGAGGGTTTTGCTTCAGTGGTTTTGGTAGTTCTGAGACATCACTGACATCATAGTACCAGGGTTGAAAAAATCCTTTCAAGGTCTATTGGTTGGCCAACTCCAACTCAGTGCAGACGCAGACCCAGGAACATGCTGCTTAGCTTGGCCAGGAGAGCTGTCCAATCTGTTCTGCTTTCCGTCCTCTGACAAGGTACTCACGTCCTCTGTTGGCCTAGATGAGCTGGCTGTCATGTCCTCTGTGTGCATCTGGACATGCTGTTCATTGCACAGGCATCAGAAACTGAGGAAGCCCTGGTCTGATACGTGAACTCCAAGGTCGGACCACATTTGTTGTGATTTTTTCCTGTGGCCGGGGTTTGAGTCCAGTGATCTGGTTGGGGGATTCCTTCAAGAAACCTCGCCTGGGGTGACTTCAAACTTGACTTGTGTGTCAGCCACTGTAGGGTCAAGTGTGGTCTGTCACCTGCACCAGCTAACACACATAACAGTGGATGCAGCTGCCTGGTCAGTTCCGTCCGAAGCCTCATCTCTTACGTGAGCTGACAGGTGCTACAGCTGAGCTCAG